GTTTACACTGCAGCAAGAAAGACAAATCCAAGGCACATATAACTTACAACACTAAGGAGCTGATGTTTTGCAGCTGAAAAAGATGTAGAAGAGGATCCTGAGGTGTTAAATGTTGATGTGTGAAAGAAATGGGGCAAAGGTGTCTACACACAATAGAGCAGGATGTAGTTTACCCTCTTTCAGGAAGTGAATAACGGAGGCTGCGTGCTGAAACCTGAATTTGGTTTAATTTATACAAGCCTGTGTGTCTACTTAATGATTATTTTTATATGCAGAGTGACAGAAGAGAGCAAAGTTCAAGATGAAGAACTTCCATCCCCTGGTCCACGCCTCAGATGGCGTCATAGTCTGGGGCTGGTCCAGGGCAAAGCCAGGAACCAGAAGCCACATGATAGGAAGTTTTTCTGGGTTTTCCATGTCACTGTCTGGATCTAAGGAGTTAAGGACCATTTTCTGCTGCTCTCCCAGGAATGTTATCGGGGACTTTGATGGGAAGTAGAGCAGTGGGGACTCAAACCAGTGCTCATATGGGATGTATAGCAGATGGTGACCTAGCTCACTATGCTACAACACTGGTCTCATGTTGTCACTTTTATTATTTATAATGAGACCCAGATAGTTTTCAGCTTCTATGTTTAAATTATTTTGATTCCATTTGAATCTCTCTCTCACACACACAAACCTAAATGAGTTAAAAGTTACTCATGTGCACAGGGAGAATATATTTTACTCAGTGTCTATCATGTTGAACCTACACAGGTCAAACACTTGAGAATTGTGTCACTAAAATCAGCTGTGCTTCCCGAGTGCTGGTAAGTAATTTTGAAAATTGGTTTCAGTGGCATTCATGTTGGAGGGACTTTTTTCAATGTGCTGTAATTTCTAACTTAAGATCTGTTCTGATAATAAAAATAATGCACACCCATTGCAAAAATGTTGCAATCAAACTATGAAAGAGACTTTTTTTGTGTAATCTTAAAATATGTCTTGTGACCTGGGGCATACCATGGCTCAACAGTTCTTGTGTGATGTATGTGTGTGTGTCACTTTTTAAAAATTCACGAAGGAGCCAGAGTTAGAAATGTGGCGTAGCAGGTAAATTTTCCCCTGCAATACCAGCATCCCATATGGGCAATTGTTTATGTCTCAACTGCTCCACTTCTGATCCAATTACCTGCCAGTATCCTAACAAAAGTAGTGGAGGATAACTCAAATGTTTGGACCCCGTGACCCATGTGGGAGACCAGGAAGAAGTCCCTGGTTCCTAGCTTCAGTTTGGCCCAGCTTTGACCATTTGTGTCAGTCTGAGTTTCAAATAAATAATCTCAAAGAATTAAAATTTCATGGAGGGACAGACATTGATGCATTGGTTAAGTTGCTACTCGGAATGCCTGCATTCAAGTCTCAGCTCCACTTCTAACATTATTTTTTTTAAGATTTATTTTATTTTTATTGGAAAGGCAGATATACAGAGAGAAGAGACAGAGAGGAAGATCTTCCGTCTGATGATTCACTCCCCAAGCGGCCGCAACGGCTGGAGCTGAGCCAATCTGAAGCCAGGAGCCTCTTCCAGGCCTCCGAAGCAGGTGCAGGGTCCCAAAGCTTTGGGCCGTCCTCGGCTGCTTTCCCGGGCCACAAGAAGGGAACTGAATGGGAAGTGGAGCTGCCGGGATTAGAACCGGTGCCCATATGGGATCCAGGGCATGCAAGGCGAGGACCTTAACCACTACACCATTGCACCGGGCCTCTTCTAACATTATTTTTAAAGAGTTACATATTAAATAAAAATATAAAAAATATATATTTATAAAAAGAGTTATATATTTATTCTAAAGGTAGAGCAAAGAGAGAGGGGGAGAGATAGACAGAGAAAGCCATTTCTTATCTGAGGGTTTACTCGGGAAGTGCCCAGAGTGGCCCAGGAGGAAAGCAGGAGGAAGCCAGGAGCCATTCATGCCTCCCACTTGGCTGGCACGGGCTCAGGGACTCGGGCCAGCTTGTATTGCTTCTCAGGTGCATCAGCAGGGAGTTGGCCTGGAAGCATGGGAAAGCAGCACTGTGACGTGAGCTGCTGTTGCCTCACATGTGGCCAGATGTGCTGTGCCATGACAGCCCTTGGTTTTTCCACAGTATTAACATTTTCCACAAACTTTTCAAAAATATCTGTTTATGGATATTGGTGTGAATGTACTCACAAAAATACACATTTTAATAAGGAATCTTGTAATTCTTCAACCAAAAGATTGTTTAAGGAATCAGCCAGTCCATCATACTCAGTTGATGGGTTAGAAGTGGCATATCATTACATAGGTTGATTTCAATAAAGACCCTGGTCAAGGCAAAGGTTTTTTTTTCCAGGCAATGATCCCCTCCTGGTATAACGTGAGACATAATTCTCAAATGGCTTTCATGATCTGCACTGCTTGATGCTACAACCCTACATAACCCAACTCCTTTTCTGAGTGTGGGCAGGACCTATTCCTTGCCTCTGGTCAATACAGTATGGTAATGGGTGTGATGCTCAAGATCATGTTATAGAATCTAAAACTCTGCCCAGCTGTGAGGCATTTTTGGGCTGGTGAGGGAAGGAAACAACCGTGTTGCAAACAGTCAATAGAGAAGGCTACAAGACAGGGAACTGCAGCAGCGGATGGCCCGGAAAGTAGCCTCCAAACTCCATTCGGTAATTAGCCACAGGGAAATGAATTCAGCCTTTAATCTGGATGGACCTTGCAAGTTGATTCTGTCCCCAGGCGAGCTGCCAGATGAAAATACAGTCTGGCTCATATGATGATTGCAGCTCTTCTGAGAATGAGCAGAGACCCCAGCTAAAATGAGACACCCGATGCATGAGAATATGGAGAGAATAAATGCCAGGGCTGCTGAGTTCATGCTAACTTGTTCCCAGCAATTTTAAAAAACCAACACACCATTTTCCACTAGTCCTGTACCTGAGTACCATGGCACATATAGGCCTTGCCTTTCTCCAATAATATTTTTTATCAGAATGGAAATGGAGGTTTCAACCATTCCTTATTTTTTCATTAATCCCCTTATTCCATTGGACCAGCCAGAAATGCACCATGCACAATACTCTCTCTAGCTGAATTTCTTTAAAATATATTAATTTATTTCAAATGCAGAATGACAGAAAGAGAGGAAGAAACACACACATACAGCGAGACAGAAACAAAGAGATCTTCCATCTGCTGGTTCACTCTCCAAATGGCTGCAACTGCCAGGGCTGAGCCAAGCTGAAGCCAGGAGTTAGGAATTCCATCTACATCACTTACATCATGGGGTGGGGAAACCCAAATATGTGGGCCATACTTGCTGCTTTTCCAGGTGCATTCACAGGAAGCTGGGACTCAAAGTGTTACGCAGATATTGGATGCACATGGCCCAAGCAGCAGCCTAAACCACCACTCTAGCTGAATTGCTGTTCACCCAATTCTTTTCACTGCAGATTCCCGGCCATCATCATACTTCGGACCATTATTTTCATATTTTATTTGTGTCAATTCTTTGTCCAGATCCACTTACTGTCATATGATCTGTTTTGAAAATGTATTTCTATGAAAACAATCATAGAATGTACTGATGTAAAATACGTATAGGACATACATATGAGGGCACTTAGCGTTTTTCATGGAGAAATTGAATTAAAAGATAAGGTTTTTTTGCTTCCAAATTTTTGAAATTCATCCATATTTTTTCACAATATTTTCAATGAGCTTTTTGAACTACCCATGCATATATAATACACGGAATGCATATTTGAGCATATATAATGTGAACCTAAAATATATGTGTATGCATCTGTGATGTTTCTCTCAGTTAAATTGAAAGCTCATCGAAGCCCAGCATTCCTAGTATGCTGCCAGGACCATACACCTTCGTGTCTTAAAATTGTGTCACATAGGGCCCGGCGCGGTGGCTCAAGTAGTTAAGTCCTTGCCTTGCACGCCCTGGATCCCATATGGGCGCCGGTTCTAATCCCGGCAGCCCCGCTTCCCTTCCAGCTCCCTGCCTGTGGCCTGGGAAAGCAGTCGAGGACGGCCCAAAGCTTTGGGACCCTGCACCCGCGTGGGAGACCCGGAAGAGGCTCCTGGCTTCGGATCTGCATAGCATCGACCGTTGCGGCTCACTTGGGGAGTGAATCATGGGACGGAAGATCTTCCTCTCTGTCTCTCCTCTCTGTATATCCGCCTTTCCAATAAAAAATAATAAAAATAAATCTTTTAAAAAAGATTGTGTCACATAAAGTAATGAGGCAGCCCTGGGAGCACCTCCCATTGTTACCCTAACTGATGAGATTGTGCAGGCAAAACAGTGGTGGAGTTATCACCAACAGCCAATGCTCCAGAGAGCTCAAAGAAACTGGAGAAGTCTGTACATCTAGCATACTAGTTGATGTCACTGTTTAAAGTTTAGTTTAGTTTTTTTTTTTAATTTTCAAAGTAGATATATGTGGAATGAAAAGCCAGCAGACATCGCACAAATACTGATCAAGAAAAGGTACAGGAATCTAAAGGAATGCAAGTCAACCTGGCCAGGAGATAAGTTTAGTGCTTCTGATGTGTGTGTGTGTTTTAGGATTTGCAGGGTTGGCTGCAGTTAGGAACGCATTTTCTGTGCAGATTGTTTATTCGTCGGCTTCTGCGCTTCTACACAGTTGTTGCTCAAATTCACCCTTCCTTTCGAATCATCATGTTTGAACAGCTGGAGAAAATCTGCAAAGCACCCCAAATAATAATCCCGATTGCTCCCGATCCTTTAAAGGAGAATGCTACGGAGGGTCCTTAGCATTTTTCCCTTACCCCCTGTTTAGGTTCAAACTTCAACTCCCAGGGTTCGCCCAAGTCCCTCCTCTTGCCCTGTCATCTAATGCATATGCAAATATCACATAATTGGCAACCAATGGCGTGGGTTCTGGTCACATGGTGTACATGGTAGGTGAGAAGAGAGAAGTTGTGTGTTGGTGAACAGAGAGGGCTCTCAGTCTGGGGCGAGAGCTTAAGTGAGCACACACGGATGCTTAGGCAGTAGTGCTGGCGGTGGCGGCGCAGCAGCAGTGGCGGTGGCGGTGGCTGCAGAGGTGGCAGGAGAGAGGCGAGGAAAGGAAGGAGGAGGGCCTCCGAGGGCTGTGCACGCTCACACTTTCAAGTTCCCTAGGAGGGAGTGGAGGTGGGGCTGCAGCAAGAGGAGGCCAGGAGAAGTCCTGTCTGTCCTGCCCGTTCTGCCCCCTCTTCCTCTTGCTCCCTGCTCTCTGGCTGTGCCAGAGTTGAGGATTCGGGTAGCCATACGTGGCAGTGAAGGCAAGAGAGCCAGGGGTGCAGGGGAAGATGCCCATCCTGCTGTTCCTGATAGACACATCTGCCTCTATGAACCAGCGCACTGACCTAGGCACTTCGTATTTGGACATTGCCAAAGGCGCTGTGGAGTTATTCTTGAAGGTAAACGGAGGGGAGAGGGAGAAATGGGGAGAGAGCCCGAGGGACTGCGGGATGGATTTTAGGTGATTCTGTAACGTTTGTATCGTCTCCTTCCTTTCCTACCCGATTCTTCTGTCATCCCTCGCCCCGCAGCTGCGCGCCCGCGATCCAGCCAGCCGCGGCGACAGGTACATGCTTGTCACCTACGACGAACCTCCGTACTGCATCAAGGTAAGGGGTTCATCAAGGGGGTGCTGGCGGATGGGAAGCGGGAGCAGTCGACAGAGGCTGCTTGTCCCCCCTCCCTCCCCCGCTTCCACCCGTGTCGGTCCTGCGTCGCCTGGCGCGGGGAAAGGGGGGCTGCTGCGCAGAGGGCGGGCGGAGCGGTGTCGTCCGCGGCTTCCGAGTGGCGGCAGCCCCGGGGGTCCCGGAGGGCGTCCGGGGGTAGGGACAGCCTCGGGGAGAAAGCACCGAGAGTAAGCTCATGGCGCGGCGACCGCTGCCGCCTCTGAAGATGGCGGACATTTTGCTTTTGTATGAACCATGGGGAGAGAGACTGAGGGCGCTGCTGAGATGGAAAGGAGGGAGGGGAGGGGAAGGAGGGTCCGAGACCCGGAGGGAGGTCGCCAGGCTGGCCCGCCCCTTCGGGGCGCCCCACGCGCGGCCGCGGTCCCGGAGGCGGGAGGAGCGGGCCTGGCGGGCGACTCCGCCCAGGGGCGTTCGCGGCCGGCCGCGCGGGCTTTCCTAGCGCCGGGCTCCTCCTCAGGCCCGCCCCATCGCCCTGGCCCGGCGGACTCCCTGCCCTTCTCCTCCTCCTCCTCTCGGCGAGCTCCCGCTGCCCTACCCTTCCTGCTGCGAGCGTGGCAGGCCCGCCGCGCGCCCTCTGCCTCGGCGCTCCTGCTCTTGTCCTGGGGGGCCGCCAGCCCGCACCCGCCCAATCGGAAATCTGTCCGCCGAGCCAGCAGCCCGCCCCTCAGCCGCCTGGACGCTCTTGGCGTTTTGGCGCGCACCGTGGGACTTGGTTAGGTTCTACCCGGTGCTCAGTTACTGGAGCTACTGTTACGAGCTCATTTGGGATCCCAGGGAAGCTTAGAGGCGGGGGTGGGGGTGGGGGAGTGGGGAGGAGGAGGAGGGAGGCGTGGGTGGTCAGGGATGCCAGACCGAATCTTCTGGAGAAGTGTAGAGCTTTTTACCCACCTGGCCTACCTACTTACATCAGAAATTAGAGTTTGTACAGTGTCGTGACACAGGCAAACAGCAAAATGTTGCAACTGTGACTGCAGTTGTAACAATATGGGGGTAAACGGGAATGAGGAATGCGGAGGAGAAAAGCAAGAGAAAGAAGGGAAGCCTTGTACCTACAAAACTGCGTATTGGAAAATAACAATAATACTAAGAAAAATAAGAATAAGAGAAATTAGGTTTCTGTCGCCTACATAGGGGTCTGTCTAGGCACACACACAGTAAGAAGGAAGGTGCAGAGTGGACTCTGAGCGGAAAAGTAGGAGGGACTTCGCTTCAGTGAGGAAGTTAATTTATGCTCCTATAGTGAGGAGATAATGAACTGCTCTGCCTGCTCTGGCTAGATAAAATAGAACTCGAACTGTACAGTGAACGTGCATGGGAGTCTTGTTTGTACATTGAAAAATTCTAGAAGCTTTTATCATAAGCCTCCATGTCTTTTGCCAGTCTCTCTCTCTCTCCCCCGCCCCCCCCACCGCGAGCACTCCAGAATTATCTTAGACGCAGTATGGACGTGTCCTAAGCCATTTCAGTACAGGATGACTTTTTTTTTTTTATAAAGGGGTATAATAACACATCGGATTCTGAAGGTCATAGCAAATGCATGGTTATTACAATTCTCATCAACTCCCAAGTCAATGTGATATTAATACAAAGAGGGCAGCTTCACTTTAGTCCATAGATAAAATTCTCACTGGAACCTACTAAACAGTGGCCCAGTCACACTGTTACTTTACAATAAAGAAAACCAAACTTGTTTCTTGAAATTCCAAGCCTCTATTTATAGTTTCATAAATATGTTCTCCTTAAAACTAGCCTGATTTTAAAAAATCATTTATTTGAAAGTGAGGCTTAGAGAGGGAGTTCGAAAGAGATTTTCCGTCTTCTAATTTGCTCCCCAGGTGATGACAAAGGCTGGGCAGATTAAAACCCAGATAAAGTCAGGGCTTTGTCTATGTCCCCCATGGGTGAGGAGACAAGCACTTGGACCATCTTTTGCTGCTTCCCCGTGTACATTATCAAGGAGCTTGGTTGGATGTGGGAGAGTTGAGACTGGAATCGGTGTCTATATATTGGTGCCCATATGGGCTGCTGGTATCACAGCTGGTGACTTAACCTGCAGTGCCACAACACAGAGCACAGGAAAATTTAACAACCATCACAACGCCATCCTTTTTCGTTAGTCCTTAATCACAGTACACAGTTTACTTTATGTTCTTCTTTTCCTACCAGTTTTATCCCATAAGTGAGCGATTCCAAGTTACTATGTTGTCTTCACACAGAAAATTTTTATTGGCTTTGGTGACATGTTATGGGAGAGGCTCCAGATAGTTCCATGGAACACAGGGAGGATGTTGGATGTTGTTTTTAGTGGAAGTTTCACCTGTTACACTGTTTAGCCTATCTTATTATTTACTATTTTTTTCTAAAGCAAAAAAAAAATTGAGTTTTATTTTACCTCTGGGTAAATCAAGTATGGGAAGATACTGTGTGTGACATAACTGTATTATTGGCTAGCTTCTTTATTCAGTTTTTTAAAATTTTATAATTAGATGGTGATAATACTTTCTAGGTAAAGGTTGCTAGTCTTTTTTTTTTTTTTAGGTTGTATTTGTTTTTATTGGGAATGTGGATACACACAGAGGAGGAGAAACAGAAAAGATCTTTTGTCCAATGATTCACTTCCCAAGTGGCCACAATGGCTCGAGCTGAACTGGTCTGAAGCCAGGAGCCAGGAGTTTCTTCTGGGTCGCCTATGCAGGTGCAGGGTCCCATGACCTTGGGCCATCCTCGACTGCTTTCCCAGGTCACAAGCAGGGAGCTGGATGGGAAGTGGGGCAGCTGGGATACGAACCAGCACCCATATAGAATTCTGGCACATGCTAGGTTACTGCACCCAACCCAAGGTTGCCAGTCTTAACAATATTCTTGTCATTTTGCTTTCTACACCTGACTCAATAGCGATATACCAGATTTTATTAACATTTTATTTTGCTGAGTCTCTTGCTAGCATTTCGTTTCATGCACATCACACCCGTTCTCTTGGCATTTGGTTCTTTTGCTTTGAGGATTTGGCCGGATTAGTAACCGTGCAATTTTAGAACATCCGGTACTTTTGCCCTAAAAATGAATCTTTGACTTTCGAAAAGCCACCATGTCTGTTTTCTGTTACTTTGGTTGTCATGTAGCTTTTTCTTTGCTAGCAGGAGTGTTAGTTGCTGCTTAAAACTTCTGTGTTCAGTAAAGAGCCTGAGATCCTTAACAGAACATTGTTAGATAGGCTTTGATTGCTAGTTCATTCTTCTGCAGAGCAATCGGGTCTATTTCGCAGTTTCTCTAAGGTTGAAGACCCATTTTACCTCTTAGGATAACTGCTTCTCAGATCTGTTATATCCAACTGCAAATACTGTGAAATGAACTCTTTTTTCTTCTTCCTTTTTTTTTTTTTTAAATAAGGAAGGCATTGCTGTAGAGAAAGGAAGAGAGAGACGCTGAGAGATCTTCCCCCACTGGTTCACTCCCCGAGGGCCAGGGCTGGTGTGTGTGGGTCTCCCACACAGGTGGCAGAAGCCCCAGCGCTTGGCCCATCTTCCCTGCTTTCCTTGGCACATCAGCAGAGAGCTGGATCTGAAGTGAAGCAGCCTGGACTGGAACCAGCACCAGTCTGGGATGCTGGCATCACAGGCAGTAGCTTCATCTGATGTGCCACAGTGCTGGCCCCATGAATTTTATTTTCTACTAGAAGATTCATTTTTATTGGTGTTAATAACAGACATGTGTTGTACATTTGATTGGGGGCTTTTTTTTTTCCTTAATAGGCATGCAAGTATTCCCAGTATATCCACTTACAAACTGACAATAAATCTTGTTATGAAAAGTTAGTGTGACAGGATTTTTTTGGTTAACATACTGTTGAGAATTGAATACAATGTTTCACCAAAGACATAATAACTTTTTACTACTAACACTTAGTGTATAGCTATGTATGTTCGTTTAGAAGTAGTGGGACTTGTTGCTTGAAGTCAGCATTGCCTGGGTAGAGTTAAGGTTGAGTTGGGATCATACAGACAGCCTATGAAATGCAAGCCTTTGTGTGCGCCATCTGCTTTAAGTGTCGCTTCTTAGGCAAACTTTACATTTCCTGCTCCAAGTTAACACTACATTTCTACAATAGCATTTTTTGTATATACAGCTAGGATGAAACCTGTTCAAGATTTTTGAATTATTGATGTATTCTTAGAAGATGAGTATGTGGATTTTTAAAATGGTATGTGTAAATTTATATATATATATATATGTATATACATATAATAGCTCTAATCTTGGCTGAGATTCTGCTGTCTTAAATGTCTTGCTATGATTCATGGTTTCTCTTTATTTAGTGTGGGAAACACAGACTTGTCATTACTATTAACTTGAAAGAAGTAATCTATTAGACATGATTGTAAGTATCCACAGTAGTTTTGTGCTTCGAACTACTTTGTTGTTATTAAAGAAAATTATCTTTAAGATAAAATGAAAATTTTCAGGCACAGTTGAAGAAATGCATACATGGTAGTCAGAGGTTTCTATTAATAAACAGGAAGAGACTTTTTTTTCAAAGAAATATCCCTGTGGTTTAAAAGCAACAGCATTTGAAAACGTCAAATTTGCCCTTGCTTGTTGCTTTTACAAATCCTGCAGCTAATTTTGCTTATGGTGTCCATGCACCCTTGTCAACACGTATCAGCAAGAAGACAGAAGTTTTCCTTACACTTTTAGGACTAAGCTTCCAAGATTTAAAAATGCTATTTGCTGTACACATTATTGACATTTTTAGCTAAGGCATAACTTTCTCATATCAGCATAAATGTATTTTATGGGCCTTATTTGGGCAAAGAGCAGCTTTCAGGGGAGGGAATGTTTCATTCTGGTGCAGAAGCTGCAAGAGGAGAGTTCTTGATGAAGTAACAGCAACATGGCTTGTGAAAGAATCTTGGACAAGGGAA